ACTATTCTAATTTGATTATAACTTCTTCTCTGATTTTTCATTTTTTTCTTTCATCTTTCAAATTCTGTTGCTCTTTTTTATGGTCTTGCAGATTATGGGGCAAATGCAGCATGAGCCAAAAGATCAGAGGAATTTTAGGACATCATTGAGTTCCTTCTGGAAGATGTTTGAACACAAAGGACTTTCAGGACTGTATGTGCATTCATTCCTTCATCATTTGTCTCTTATAGTTCCTATCTTTTTATTGCGTTTTTGCTAGCTAGTATGCAAGCTTGGAAACATATCAGGTGCTCATGGGTTTGTTGATGTCTCTCAAAACACCAGGTACAAAGGATTAACAACTCATTTCTTGAAACTTGCGACAGTGATTTGTTATATTTATGCTCCATTTGGTTTAGATATAGGGGGGCTCAGGTCCAGTTAGTTTACTGCTTTGACCATAAGAAACTTCTCCCAAATTCATAAAAGTCACACAAAATTTTATGAAATTGGGAAAAGTTTTAAGACATCCCAAATTCTTTTGAGCAGCAAATTTGCGTAAAAATTTGCGTAAATTTGCTGCTTGGCAATTTTTTTTTACAAATTAGGGGGTGTCAAGTTTGATTTTTTATAACAAAAAAAACTATGAAATGGCTACAGCCATTCCGATATTGCTTGTCGCTCCATTTTCAAAAAGAAAAAGTGAAACCTAAGTTTTTACTCAATAAAACTTCAAACTTGGCTGTAATTCAAAGCAATACAGCCAAAGTTTGGGTTTTAACCGGTTAAAATTTAGGTTTCAAGCTCACAAACTTTTTCTTTTTCAAACAGGTGCGACAAGCAATATTGGAACGGCTGTAAGTTTTTATCTTATAAATCAAAAAAACTTTAGCTGTGGTTGTATCATAACTGTTAAACCACAATCAAGGTTTTTTTACTTTTTGCCTTGATCATCCACCTGGTGAGGAGAAAACTTCTGGTAAAAGCATGCAAGGTTGTCCTTGCATCCACTATCAAGACCACTGTGTCTGAGATCAAATTGGTCAAAGTGAGCTCTTTGATCACATGTTCTAAACATAAATTGTTTAAATTGGAAAACCTTTTACAGCCTGGTGCTGTAAAAAACTTTCCAATTTTTAGGACAAGGCCACAAATATCTTGACCTGAGCCCCCCTAATACCAAGTCAGGTGAAAGTTCTGGACAACCGGCTCACTGGGGTAGAGTTTTTTTGGTTTTCATGTTTAGCCAGGGATGCAGGAATGAGTACCAAGTATGAGTATATACTCAACTGATACTCACTTTGTATGGGT